CCCCGGGCTGACCCCGCACACACGGACCCCGCACCCCTGGGAGCCTGTGCACAGAGACCTCGCACCCCGGGACCCTGCACCCCAGGGAACCCCCACCCGGGGAGTGTGCACCCCAGGATCCTGTACCCAGGGACCCTGCACCCCAGGATCCTGTACCCAGGGACTCTGCACCCAGGGACCCCACAGCCGAGGGATTTCACATCTGGGGAGTACACACCCCTGGGACCCTGCACCCATAGATTCTGCACCCCAGGAACTCTGTACCCCAGGGACCCTGCAGCCCAGAGACCCTGTACCCATAGACCCTGCATCCCAGGGACCCCGCACGCAGAGACTCCTCACTCAGGGCTGTCCTCCTCTCTGGTGCCTCTGTGCCCCAGGGACCTTGTGCCCCAAGCTACTCTCTACATCCTGGGCTCTCCCCACGCRCCCACCTTGCTGCCACAGAGGTCATGAGTGGCTCCAAGCTGTTGGGGGCCCCCCTTTGCTGCCAGGCTGCTCCCTCCATCCCAGCACACACACTTCTCTGTTCCCAAGTGGCTCTGGTCCCCTCCGGCCAGCGGGTCTCTGCACAACAGTTCCTTCCCTGCATGGTCTCCCCTCTGCACCCCTCTAAGCTGCTCTGGGGTTGACCCCACTCCCAAGCACCCCACAGGGCCCTGCTGGGTCCCAAAATGGGGCAGCCTGGGAGCTCCCGACACCCCAGGGCCCTTGGCCGCAGCTCCATGGGTTCACAGCGAGGGTCTGCAGCCCCCCAGAGCGGTCCCGCAGGCTAGGACAGGCGAGAGGCTTCCCGCGGAGCGCAGCTCTGCTCCCTGGGGTTGGGGCTCGGGCTGGGCCCTCGCTGGGCTCCAGGAGCTCTCCCAGAGCCCGGCTCCTGCAGCACCCAGCCTGGTGCTCCTCGGAAATGTGCGCTCAGCCATCCCAAAACAGCACATGTGCCAGGGAAGCCGAAATCACCCTGATCCATCCTGCATCCTTGACCCCCACACCATCCCGCTCCCAGACATCACACAGGGCTGTAGCTGGGCCGAAGGCTTCTCTAGACCAGAGCTGCATGGTGCCTGATCCCTGCACGTCAGGGCTGGTGGAGGCCAGCCTGGGCACAGCCCAGCCCTTGCAAACAGCCTGTGCAAGAGACCCCAGGCGCAGCTGCCCCATCACCCTGCTCCCCTCCTCCCCGTTCCCGTTTCCCGGCGGCCGGAGCTGCCCTCGGAGGCTGCGGGAGGTTGGGAGCAGCTGTCGAACAGCTGCCAGTGGCCGGCGAGGGGCAGGCGCTGGGGCCGGCAGGCGCTCGCAAGTGTCCCAGCTGGCCCCGGGGGCGGAGGTGGCGCGAGCGGCAGGACCCGCTGCCGCGGGCGCCGCGCGGCTTTGTTCTCCAGCGGCACAGCCGGGGCCCCTCCTCAGGCTCCACCTCCGCAGCCCACCCGAGACCCTCCTTCCGCTGCCTGCGCACGAGACCCGCGCGCTGCGCAGCGCTGGTGGCCAGAGCACAGGCCAGAGCAGTGCCCTGCGGGCAGCTTGGCTGGCACAGGCCATCAGTAGGGACCAGAGACAACAGGGTCCCAGAAAGCGCAAGGGCAGAGACCCCAGCGTGTCCAGGCCTTGCTCTGGGGAGCTGCTCTGCCGCTGCGTAGCCCTCACCTGCCTCGGGGGCAGGCAGGCTGGCTCCAGCGCCGCGCTCGCTTGCCCRGCGCTGCCCTGGCCCCGCTCCAAGGCCGCGCGCCCTGCGGCTGAGCTGGCACAACCTGTTCCCGGGCCGCGCTACCCGGGCGCCGCTGCGCACGGCCGCCCTGTGCCTGCCCTCAGCCCTTCCAGGGCCGCCGTCCCCCCGGGCCGCACTGCCCAGCGCGGGCCTCGCGGCCGCCTGCACACGCTGCTCCCGGCCGCCCCGCCGTGCCCTGCCGGCCGCTCCTGACCTTGGCGCCGCGGCCGCCGCTCACCTCCGGGCACAGCCGCGTCCCGGTGTGCCGGCCCCGCCGAGCGCGCTGCCCTCCTGCCCCTGCCTCCAGCCCGGCCTCGCGCTCCTCGGCCCCTGCTCCCCAGGGCACCCTGCTGCGCYCCCCGGCCATTCCGGGCTGCTCCTGCGCCCTCCCTTCGTGCAGCCCCGAGCTGACGGCTGTAGGGCAGGCCACACGCGGAGGGCCACGGGCAGCGCCAGCCGGGCGCTCTCAGAGCCCTTACTGCTTTGCACTGCTCCCCTTGCGCAGGCGCCCTCACCTCGCTCGGCCTGTGCCGTTTGCACCGCTGTGCCCCCCTTGCCGCTGCCCCCCTTATTCCTGCTTCCTGCCCTCCTTATTCCCGCTCTTCCCCTTCAGTCCCCAGCAGTGTTTCCCATTTCTCCAGGGGCAACAGGGAAACGTGGCCCTGCATCCCGCCACGGCCTCCAACCRGCTCCCAGCGGTGCCGGGGATGCACCGGCTTCCCGCAGCCCAACCCGGCCCCGGCAGAACCTTCCAGCAGATTAGCAAGGCGCAATTTCCCTTGCAATTGCTCATCGCATTAAGAGCTGCAATTATTAATGACCGTTACAGCTGCCAGATCGGAGCGGCGAGATGGGCTCGTCCCCAGAGCCGCCGCCCGCGGGGCCGGCTCCAGGCGGAGGGGCCAGACCTTCCTCTCCGCATCCTTGAGGACGGCAGCTGGGTTTAACGAGGAAGGGCTCGGCCACGCTGCGCCAAGGCGCGTGCAGAACCGCTTGGTCCTGCTGAGTTACAGCCCTGCACCGGCCTCAGCGCCGGGCGCAGCAGGGATGACGCCAGGGCAGGCGCGAGCCCCGCGGGTCGGAGCCCAGCTCCAACCACCCCCTTTCCCCACGGCTCACGCCGGCCGCAGCTCTGCTCCGAGGGATGCCAGCCGGCAGGGGCATGCGCTGTGTGCTGAAAACAGGGACGGATGACCTAGATGACACAGGGGACCCTCCAGCACAATCCTGGCTGACGGAGGCCAAGGAGAAGGTGGATTTTCCCCCGGAGGCTCCAGGGAGCTGAGTCAGGCCCYGGGCCACAGCGAGGGCTGGGAGGGGCGCGGGCTGCGCGGGACCGTCGTGACCGACGCACGCGCCRAGCCGCGCGCTTGCACAGAAGTGTTTATTAAAGGCACTAAAAGCACCGTGGCTACATCAGACACAGCCCAACCGGAGAGTGTGGGTTCGGGAGAGGCATTTACAGTTGGGGGACGGCGGTGGCACACGCTCTTTGGTAGGAAGCACGTGGCGAGCCCGGGGGCACCCGCGGTGGCCGTCAGGGCACACGGCCCTGCGCCCGGCACCGCAGCGGGGCTGTGGGGAGAGCACTGGGGCTGCAGCCCCTGCACCACCTCTGGAGCGGAGCAGGGAGGGTGGGAAGGCCTTGGCACCGCGGCGGGGGGCTCAGGGATGTGCAGGGAGCAGCCCCTGCTCCGGCACCCGCACGGCTGCACCAACCCCGAGTGCTGTTCCCATTCCCCGGTTCCTGGGGTCACCAGGGCGGTGCACAACAAGCAAGGGGCTCAGGGCCCTGCACTGCACCCGGGCCAGAGCAGCGCCGGGAGCTTCCAGGAAAGAGGCAGGAGYGATGGGAAAGGGCGAGTTTGCAGCCCGGCTCCCTGGGGCAGGGCAGGGGAGAGGAGCATGCAGGGCCAGGGGCACGCGTGGGCACGGCGGGACGGCCGCCCTCACACGTGGGAGAACGCGTGGCTCTTGCACAGCGGCTTGTCCTTCTTGGAGTAGAACGTCTTCCCTTCCAGGTTGGTCTGGCAGATCTGGGGAGCAGAGCAGGCGCCGTCAGCGGGGCCGAGGCAGCACGCGGGGCGCAGCGGGCGCAGGGCAGAGCCCCTCGCCCGCCAGCTCGCGGGCGCGCAGGCCCGGCGCACGCAGCTCACCGCGCACACRAAGCAGGTGTCGTGCCAGCTGAAGCCCAGCGCCTCCAGGAACCGGTCCCCAGCGTCGATCTTGAAGTCGCAGCCGCGGCACTTGGTGCCAAACATCTTCTCATAGTCTGCGAGGGGAGGCAGAGCCCAGGTGAGCACTCCCCGGCGCCGGCACCCCTGGTCCCGGGGCCGCAGAGCTGCAGCACAGCCCGGCTCCCACCCACACAGCCCGGGGACGAGTCCCTGCCACCCTGGGGACAGGGCGCGAGGTGCCGGGGCCGTGCGGGGTGTCCCCAGGCGCCCCGGCCGCCCCCGCGCTCCGGCACGGAGGGGAAGCTGCTCTCCCGGCGTGCAGCGCTCGCCGCTCATGCGCATCCTCCAAGTCTCCATGGCGACGCGGGAGCAGCGGCCCCCGCCGGCGGGGACAGGGATGGGGACGGGGACAGCGGCGAGGACGGGGGCAGCGCCGCTCACCCGCGCCCCGCTGAGCCCCCGCGCAGCGAGCGCCCCGCTCCGCTCCTACCTCTCTCGCAGTAGGGCTGTCCCTCCTCCATGTAGAAGGCCCGGTTGCGGATGGGCGTCTTGCAGGCGGCGCAGGTGAAGCACTGCACGTGCCAGGTCATCTTCAGCGCGTGCATGACCTCCTGCAGGGGAAGCGCCGTCAGGGCACGGCGCCCGTGCCCCGYGGGACCCCCCGGTCCCGAAAAGGGCGAGGGAGCCCTGGGTGCAGCAGGGTGCAGGGGACAGAGGCAAGGCAGCGCAGCGCCAGGGCTGAGCGACACTCACCCCGGTGATCTTCTTCTTGCACTTGGCACAGCTGGGCGCGTAGCGCGAGTCGTAGCACTTGGGGCAGAAGATGGTGCCCTTTTCCTCAAAGAAGCCGCCCTCGTCCAGCACCTTCCTGCACTGGCAGCAGATGAACTCCTCCGGGTGGTAATAGTGTCCCAGGGCCACCAGGTAGCGTCCCCTGCGGCAGGACAGGGCCGTGTGAGGCGCTTTGCAGCCCGGTGCCTCCCGGCACGGGGCGCCCGGGGCCCGCAGCTCTCACCTGATGACCTTGTTGCACTTGTAGCAGAGCGGCGTGCGGCCGGGGCCCTCGGGCGCCTGCTGCGCCGCCTGCACGATGGAGCTGCGGTTCTGCATGGGCGTCGGCGTGGCCGGCTGGCTGTGCTTGCTCAGCACCGTGCTCGTCTTGTCCGGGGCGTAGCGCTCGGCGAACGTGGGGTCCACGGCCCAGGGCGGGCGGCTGGCGGGGCCGGGGGTGGCCGTGGGGGTCCTGGGGGCTGCGCACACACAGGGGTCTCTGTAGCCCCCTCCAAGGAACCTCATCCCACAACGGGGCAAGAAGCTCCCCCAGCTCCAGCCCTTCCCCTGCCTCCCCCCACACAGGAAAGACCCATAKGGAATTTTCCACTTACCCAGTGCCGGCTCCGTCTTCATCACTGCTCCCGAGGACGAGTCCGGCATGGAGACCTGGCTACAGAAGAACTAGTTACACCAGCCTGCCGCGCTCGCCCCTGCTCGCGGGCTGGCCGGGGGGCTGCGCGCGTCAGCAGGGACCCCTCCCTCCCCCAGGGCGCGCGGGAGCCCCCAGCAGCCTGGGCGCCGGTGACGGAGCCACCACGAGCCCCCGTGGATGCAGCCCCACGGGGTCCCCGGCGCCCTGCTCAGCGCTCCGGGCGCTCCAGAGGGAAGGACGTGGCTGCTGCTGCCCGCGCGGACACAACAGACACCGCGACKCAGAGGGGCTTTGCTTGGAGCCCTCAGTGAGCACAGGGAGCCTTGGCACCCAGCGCCAGCAGCTGGGGACACTCAGGGCTCTCCCGGGCAGCAGCGCAGGAGCAGCGGGTGCCCCACAGCGCTGCCAGCACCGGGCGCGCGAGCAGCTGGGAGCAGCAGTGAGCACTGGGGGCCGGGGAGCAGCGCCCRGCTCGACCAAGCCCTAGAGAAGGGGGAGCCGGGCAGAGCCCGCGGCTCCGCACCCCACCAGGGCGCATGCGAGAAGGCGGCGGCTGCAAGAGCAGGAGTGTTTATTTGCCGCGGGGCAGACCGGGCGCACGCGGAGCCCTGCAGCACCGCGGCCCCGAGCGGCGGGACAGCAGGAGGTGCCGCACGTGAGGCTTTCCCAGCCCTGCCCCAYGGCAGGCAGGGCACAAACCCCTGCTTGCTTCCCTGCCCGAGAACCTGGGACACCCGCAGCGCTCGCTCCCGCTCTGCATCATTCCCAGTCTCTCCACAGGCTTCCCGGACAGCCAGGTCTCATGGCCAAGGTCCAACTGCTGCCAACCGCTTTCCAGCACCCACAGCAGGATTTTGCCACCAGGCTCCCCCCAGGACACCACAGCACAGCTCAGCCTGCCCAGCTCAGTGCCAGCCATGCCCAGAGGGCCAGGGACACCCCGCCGTGGGGACACCCCGCCGTGGGGACACCCCGCCGTGGGGACACGCGGGGCCCGGCCCGGCCCCTCACGCCTCGACGTTCAGAGCAGTGCCTGAGCGCTGGTGGTGCCAGTGGCGAAGGCGAGTGTAGCGCGGGCTCCGCAGCTCAGTGAAGAACTTTGCTCTGGAGAGAAGGAAGGACAGAGAGGGAAAGGGAGGAAGGAGGAGGCAGGGAAAGAAGAAGAGTTACAGCGATGGCGAGAAAGAGCTTTGCCGGAGGCCCAACAAGCAGCTACGGYGCGAGGACGCGGCAGCGGCGCGGGCTGCGTGCCCGGCGCCCCGCACGCACAGCCGGCTCCCGGCAGCCCTGGAGCTCACCCTGGCGCGCACCCCTTACCTGGACTTGTTAACAAGCTCATCATCATCATCGTCCACTGAGAGCAGCGGGAGAGAAAGGAGGAAAGAGAGTCAGGCTGCTGCGCCCGAGGCAGAGCGGGAAGGGAAGGGAAAGCTGCCGTCTCCTCCCTCGCCCCTCCGGCTCCGATGGAGCTGCCGCCGCGTGCCCTGGCCAGGCCATGGGGCCGAGGACGGGCTCCGCTGTGCGGCATCCCCACGTGCCCACACAGCACGGCCCAGGGCAGCTCCGCACCGCCCCTCTGCTCCCCAAAATGCCAAGAGCACCRAAACTAGGGCCTGGGTGCCAGCGCGCATCCCGCAGCCTGTGCCGGGCTCCCACTGCCCAGGCGAAGCCTGGCAGGCACCGGGCACCCCCCGGGCGCCAGGGCCCCTGCAGGAACTTACTGCCGTCGGTGCCCGTGAGGCGGGCCAGGAGGCGGAAGGTGCGGGACTGCGAGGTCCCGGTGCGGGGCCGCCAGTCCTCCGTGTCCTCTATCAGCCTCAATTTGCTGGGGTCACAGGGCAGGAGGCCCGGGGGGCTCGGCGGCCGCAGCAGGTGCCTGCGAGCGACACGGGAGGGCAGGGCGCTGAGGCGGCGCCGCGCGCCCGGGCCGCGCTCCCCGCGGCTCCCCGGGGACAGCGGCGGCGCACGGGCAGCTCGGACACCGCGTGTCCCCCGGCACCTAACTCCCCATGGGAAGGGCTGAGGCTGATGCTGCTAAGGGAGGCTGCACGGGGCTGTTCCCATCTCAGGACGTCTGGCACCGGCCCCCAGGGCCAGCATGGGGGAGGACAGGGCGAGCAAAAGCCAAGGTGAAAATCACACCCAGGGGAGCAGGGCAAGCGCCCAGGAAGCGCCCGCGGTGCCAAGCCCAGAGCTGCCAGCCCTGGGCAGCGTGCCCGTGCAGCCAGGAGCCGCTGGCAGGGGCGGCCGTGCCGCGTTGCAGGGAGSGCAGGGGCCGAGCGCGCGGTGCCGCGGGCCTGGCATGGGCAGCACTGCACGGCGCACGCCAAGGACAGCGCTGAGGCTGGAGCGGAGAGCCCCGGGGCTGAGCCCTGCCCCCCGAGAGCAGGGCATGGGCAGGGCGCTAGCAGGGCAAGAGGCACGCGGGAAGACGAGAGAGGAGAGGCAAAAGGCTTACTGACTTGTCAAGGCTCTGCACCTGCAGGAGAGAGAGGGGAAGAGAAAGGGAGGAGAGAAAGAAAGAAAAGGAAGATGAAATCAGACCCACCGCATCCAAGATGTTTCCAGCGCTCACCTACAGCCTGCGCCAGGCCCCTTGCCCGCGGGACCCATGCCCAGCTGGCCCAGGGCATGGGTCACAGCAGGGCCGTCACCAACAGACCAGACTGTCGCTCCCTTCCCCACAGCAGGCCTGGGCGCAGGGGCGGCCAGCGCCCTGCTCTGCCAAGGCCACGTCCCTAGTCACCTGAGCTCCCCGGCCCGCTGGCAGGGCGGGCAGACCCGGGAGCTGCCGGCAGACCCCTGCACAGCCGGGCCAGCCGCAGGGCTGCCCCTTGCCCAGCCCATCCCCGCAGCCTCGGGGCTGCAGGGGCATCCACCTAATGCAGCCGGGGCTCCCCGTGCCCCTCGCTGCAGGGCTCGTCACAGACACAGCAAGCGCCCTGCATGAACCCGGACACTGCCCAGCTGTGCTGCACGGGGCTCCCAGCGCCCGGGCAAGGGGATGCACMCACCAGTGAGGAACAGACACGTGTGAGTGCACGGGTGCCCACGCGTGGCAGTGCTGCCCTGCAGCCCCGGCCATCGGGGGAGCGGGGCAGGCGGCACGGGCACCGCTGCCCGCTCCCGCATGCAGGGCACGGCGGGAGGCAGCAGGCAAGGCAGGGCTGCCCCCGGCCCGTCCTCGGGGAGCAGGGCGGACAGCAACGTACCCGTTGTGCTGGGGGGTGCAGGCGGGCGCCAGGGGCACGTACGTCACGGGTTTCGTCACCAGCCCGGGCGGCGGGTTCGGAGGCGAGCTGGCCCCAAAGGGCCGAGCTGTTTTGTTGAGGGCGGTGCTGGGAGCGAAGTTATATTTCGGGGGCTCAGAGCAGGGGAGTGAGTCCTGAGCGAGACAAAACACACAGACACGGGCTCGCGCGTCAAGCAGCATGCAAGGGGCAGCCCGGCGGGCAGTGCGCCGGGCAGCCGCGTGAGGAAGCCAGCCCTGCCCTGGCYTGCAGCCCTGTGTGGACACGGGTCCAGGCGCACAGACACGGCCAGCACATGTGCCGCGGGCACCGGGTCCCTGCTCCGCCGGCCGTCCAGGCCGCGGCCACGCGGCTCCGCAGCCAACCTGGCCCCAGGGCCACTTGGAGATTAGTAAGTGCCCCGTGGAGGCCACGCATGCACACACAGTGCTCGTGCATGCACACAGTGCTCACGCATGCATGCACGCTGCTCACGCATGCACACAGCTCACACATGCACACAGCTCACACATGCATGCACACAGCTCACACATGCATGCACACAGCTCACACACGCGCACACACACATGCATACACGGTGCTCACGCGTGCACACATGGGAAGCAGGCAGGGGAGATGTGCAGGCGGCCTCTGCTAGGAGCCACCAGCACTGGCCATGACCTGCTGCATGGCAAGGAGCGAGCCGCGTGCCAGGGCACTCTCTGGCACTGGGACATGTGGGGCCCAAGGCAGCACTGGGCGCCTGCCCCACGCGGGCCGCCCCACAGCCCGGCTGGCTCCAGGCCTGGGGACACGGAGCAGGCTCTGCCRGGCTGCTCCTGCCCCCTCGGCTGCACTGCTCCGAGGTCGCAGCTGCTCTTCCAGAAGGGATTTTCCAGCCCTCTGAATGYGCCCTAGTCCCCCAGAAGCCTGGGGGCCCCAGGAGCAAAGTCTATTCCCTCTATCCGATCTCAGCCATTTCCCTGCCCCCAGCGCGGGACGGAGCTGCTGCCAGCGGCGCCAGGAGCAGGACGTACCTTCTGCTGCTTCCCCACGGCGTTCGGGATTCTGCAAGAGAGGAGAGAGCAGGGTAGGCGCTGGAGTCGGCCCCGCAAGCCCCAGCGTCGTGCCAGGCCGACGGCACCRAGGGCGCTGGCCCTCGGGAAGGGGCAGCCGGCCGGCACTGCCTCGCGCCTCGGAAGCGCCGGGCTCAAGCCAGGATCCGTGCAGCCGGGCCGGGCCCATGTCCAGGCACGGGGGGAGCCCAAACCTGGCGCCCGGGGCTGCTTCAGGCCACTCGGGGCTGCAGGGCTGCCGGGTGGGGAGCAGCAGGGCCGGAGGGCAGCGCCGGGCACTGGACGCAGCTCTGCTCGGGATGCCCCGGTGCCACCCATGAGTCCTACCTGCTCAGGGTGAGGCAGAGCCTGTCCCCACAGGCGCGGATCCTGTTCTGGGCCTCGATGTGCGTCATGGGGCTGGTGAGCTCCCCGTCGATGCTCAGCACCCAGTCGCCCACTCCCACACCAGCCTGGGCCGCCTTCCCGCCTGGAGTCAGCTGCAAGACACAGGAGTCAGGGAGAGCCAGCGCAGGGACACGGGAGCAGGGGACATTGTCGCCCCCCATGAGCGCAGGGCTCCGTGCTGGCCCAGCTCCCTTCGTGCAAGGTCCAGCCGGGCAGTGCACCCCACRGTGCCGGGGGGACCCCGGAGCTGCCTGCGCTGCCCCGCCAGCGTCACGGCAAAGCTGGGACCCTCTCGGCACAGCACAAGCTCCCCTGGACCCTCCGTCCTGCCCTTTGCTGTCACCAAGCACCACACAGGCGGCACAGAGCTGGACAGCACGCAGCTCCTTGATGAGCACGGAGCATCCAGACACAGGGCTGGCCCCTCTCCCGGTGCCCAGCAAGGCTTCTTGCTGCCGAGCACRTGCACAGGGTGTGAGCGTGGTGCCATGGACCACCCCGTCACCCCCAAACCCCACTGCATTGGCTTAGAGCAGCACCCTCCTCTGCGCAGCCCAAGCGCTTCCCACGGCGCTGCCTGGCGCAGGGACGGCCGGGCGGCACCGGGGGCCCCCGGATGTGATGCCGGAGGGGAGGCCGTGCGGGCTCAGCCTCGGCGGGAGGCCCAGGGCCGCGGCGCAGGAAGGGGCCGGGTGAGTCAGGGCCGGCGGCGCCGCCCGCGTCTCGCCTGCGGTGCTGTGAACCACAGGCATCCCCAGGCCGGGCGGGTGGGCGGGCGAGGGGCAGCCCCCCCGGCCCCGCTGCCCCGGCCGCGCCGCTCTCCCGGCCGGCCCGTCCCGGCGTCGGCAGGCRCAGACGTTACCTCATCCCGCACGGAGCGGCACCGGCCACCCCAGGGCAGGGAGACACCCGCCCCCCGCTTCCTTGAGCCCCCTCCTGGCGCYGCGGGCAGTGCCCGCCCCAGCACCAGTGGCCCGGCCACCTTGGGAATTGCCAGCCGGGTYTCCTTGGGAAGGGGTGCATGGAGCAGGGCCGCGGCTTCCTCCGCCAGCGCGGGGCATCCTCCGGGCCGCGCTCACCCACACCAGCCCGCTCGGCCCCCGCTGTGCCGGACACGGTGCCTTGGCACCGGCCTCCCCTCCTGCTGGGATGCTGGGCCCAGGCGTCCGGCGCCGAGGGCACGCGGGGCCCACGCCGCTCCCAGGCACCGACAGACAGACAGACGTGGGCAGGCTGCAGCCATTCCTGCTCCTCCAGCATGGAAGAACTTGAGGCTCTTGGAGCGGGACCAAGTATTTCCTCAAGTCCTGTTCAACATGCACATAAAAGGAGTGAGCCAGATTCCCAGCGCTGTCAGAGGGCTGGAACATCCCTGCCACCAGCATCAGGCGCTGCTCGCCCACGCGCAGAGCCTGGCCTGCCCAGCAGCACATCCCTAGCGCAGGTACCAGGCATGCCCCTCTGCCCAAACCCTGCTCCTGGGCCGAGCCCAGCTGGGCTGCACCAGCGGGGCAGTCCTCGTGGCTCCCCGAGCTGCCGCGCTCCATGCCCCGCGCTCGGCGGCACGGCCGGCTCCCGGCCGCCCCGGGGCCCGGCAAGCTCCGGCTTGCTGCCCTGGAGGCCGGAGCAGGATCCGGGCCACGCGGGCTCGGCGCCCGGCAGAGGTTTTCACACGGCTGCTCGGGAAGGGGAGAGCAGGGCAGGCCGCGTCACGCAGCCGCACCCAGCGCGCAGGGCGGGCGCCGCCGCGCTCCCCGGTGCCGCCGCRCTCCCAGCCCCGCACGCCAGGAAGCCCCCGGTGCAGGTGCCGGCGCAGCCGGGAGGTGCCCGCCGGCCTCCCGCTTCCTGCGCCGTGGGGCCAAGTGCCCTGCCTGCCCCGCTAGCCAGGCCTTCCTTCCTCCCCTCTCCGCCCAGCCTGGCTTTTGTTCCTGGAGCCGGGGCCACCGTGCCCAGCGAGCACCCGCCRCCACGGAGCCTCTCCACGGGGTGCTGCTCTGGCACCACAGCCCTAGCACAGATCTGCCCTCGGGCAGCACCGAGGTGCTGGGGACACTGCTTGGGGCAGGCAGCAGCCGAGCCAGCAGCATGCTCCAGATYCTGACTTTTTAGGGGAAAAGCAGCACATGGAGGTCACCGCTTCCACTCAGATCAGAACCCACCGCCCTGTAACCCACCCGGAGAGTGGTTACACACAGGAAGCCTGGGCAGCTGCATCCCTGGGAAGTGCCTCGCTGATCCCCTGGCGCAGCCGCCTGGCCCCAGGCTGGGCTTTCCCAGGAGCCGCCSGCAGCCCTGGCGTGAGCAGCGCTCYGCAGCCCTGGTCCTGCCGGCCAGGAAGGCAGCGCTTCCCAGCCCGCCCAGCCACGCGAGGCCCCTGCCCCAGCCCTCCGCGGCTCCTCCGTCTGATCAGACCCTTTGTTAGGTGCTGGCTCACAGCCAAGAGAAACATTTTTTAAGAGAATAAACTCGCCGGAGCCGCCTGAGCACGGAGCCCTCAGCCCAGCGAGGGTCGGCAGGCCGGGGTGGCACCGGTCACGGCGGCCGCGCGGCACCCGCAGGCTCCGGGGCGCCGCAGGGACCGCGCCGCACGGGGCACCGCGGGACGTGCACCAGGGCCAGGTCTCGGCGCGTCGCTCGGCGCCCGCGGGCGAAGCCTTTGCTCGGGAAGCGGCCTCGCGTGCCAGCTGCCACAGCGCCAGCGGCGCRGGCGACGCAGCCACATTCCAAGGCTTATAAGGCAATGGTGTGGCCAGAGCYGTCCGCTCGCACCGCGCAGGGACCCGGTGCCCAGCGAGAGGGACACACAAGCGTGTCCAGGGACCGGGCCTGGCCGCGGCCGGCGCCGCCCYGGGAGCGGTGCCGGGGTGGCCGCGGGGAGACGGAGCGCTCGGCGCGGCGGGGACGGGCTGGGGGCTGCCGTCCCAGCGCAGCAGAGCACGGGCTGCCTCAACCCCCTGCGCTAACCCTAACCCCGACCCGGGTGGTGRGAGCTGGGGCTGGGAGCGGAGCAGCAGGAGGGACGGCGCAGGGCTGAGCCCGGCACAGGGCGCCGAGCCCGGTGTGCGACCGGAGCGGGAGGGCGGCTCAGCCGGAGAGCCCCCTCCCCCTGCCGCACAGGCTCCGGAAGAGGCCCCCCGGCCTCCCCAGCAGCAACGGAGCAGAGGCCGTGCAGGACTTGGAATTGCTGCTGCGCCGGAACCCCCCCGGCGCGTCCTCCGCCGCGCTGATAAGGCTGCGGGTGCCTTGGGAGAGGCTGAGCGGATGAGATCATGGCAGGACTCAGCACTGCAAAGGTCCCGGCTTATCCACATTCCCCTGCAGCTGCCCGGGCCCAGCGGCCTCGTTTCCCACTACAGTGGTGGGGAAAGGACGGGCGTTCCCAAGGCTCGGCTTCCTTACCCTGGAGATGGAGAGCGGCATGCTGAAATCCTTCCCTCCCTGCAGCCGGAAGCCCCAGGGTGCGGGCCCATTCAGGATCACCTTGTAGGACTCCACTTCACCCATCTCTGCAAGGGAAGAGGGTAACCTGGTGTTATGGTGCGCGGGAACAAAGCGGGAGAGCAGCCAAGCAGGGGCCCAGYGCCCGGCAGGACGGGGCAGGAGGTGGCAGGTCACCCTTTCCGGACTTGTTCCCCCCGACTATCCTGCACTGCGGCTAGAGACGCGCCCAAAYCCATCAGCATCTCCTACAGCTGAGGCGCCCCGGCTGCAGCTAACGGAGGCGGCGGCTGCAGCCCGAGCACCGTGCTCGGCATCCTATGGGCTTTGCTTGCTGCCCCAGCCCCGGGTGGGCTCCCCTGGGTGCACAGCAGCACCCTGGAAGCTCTGCCTGCTGGAAGCCGAGACCGCTCACGCCGCAGAACAGCGGCAGCAGGCGCGGCAGGACCGAAGCCAGGGGTGTTTCCCTGGGTGAAGCATCAGCGGTAGCAGCACAGTAGCTGGGCGATGCCAGCCGAGCAGCCTGGCAGCGCGRCCAGGCTCGTGCTGCAGCAGCTGGYGGAGCAGATGGCACCTGGGCGCCAGCCCATGTCGGCACGCGGGGCTGTGCGAGCCGCGAGTCCCCGCGCTGCCCTGCGAGACCGTGGCGCGGGGGGCACCCGCACCCCGGGAGGTGCCGCCGGGACCCTGTCGGGATGTGCTGGAGGCAGCGCCGTGGGGCCCGGTGGCGGCGGCGGGGCCGGGGCCGGCGAGCCCCGCGCGGCCCGGCCCGGCCCGGGCGGGCTATATAAGGCGTGTAAGCTGACACCGGCGCGCGCCCCGCTCGGGGCGGCTGCGGGAGGGCTGCGTGTCACACATTCCCCAGCCCCGAGCAGCCGCGCGAGGCGGCCCGGGGCCGCCCGCCCCACGGCGGTCGGTAGCGCCCCGGCCGGGGGCCCGGCGGCCGCGGCTCGGGCACGGCGCGGGCAGAGGARCGTTTCGGAGGGATGGGGGCCCACACGGCCCCCCCTCTGCGGGGAGCTACAGCCCAGGTGGGGCCACGGCCGTGGGGCTGGCGTGGGGCACCTGGGGGTCCCGGGCACCTGCTCCCGATGGGCTGCAGGGCACGGGGTCCTGCCCCTCCTTCCCAGCCCTATCTGCCCCGTTCCCCAGTACTGCCCCACACGGGCCCCTTGCCCAGACTTAGGGGCCTCCCTCACGCACCCCCCACCTCAACCCCATCCCCCGCTCAGGCGGGACCGGCCCCCTCTCCCTTCGCTCGGCCCCACCATCCCGATCCATGGGCAGCCTCCATCCAGGCTGGCCCCAAGCCCCCAGCCCTGCCCCACACAGGCCTCTACCCGGCCCCATAGAGGCCCCCACTCGGATGATCCGCTCCCCATCCCAGCCCCAAGCTCTGCCCTCTCCCGGGCCCCGCCGCCCGCCCCTCTTCGCGGCCCCGGCCCGCGCTCACCTGCGGCCGGGCCGGGCCGCCCAGCGGAGCGGGACCGAGCGGAGCGGGCGGACGCGGGGCTCGAACTCGGGGCGCCGCCCCCGCCCGGCCCTGCCCGCCCTTAAGTACGGTCGGGGGGTGGGTGTAGGCGGGGCCAGAGGCCGGCGGGACCAATCAGCGCGCGCGCCGGCTGCGCTGGGGCGGGCACGGCGGCGCCCCCCGGCGGCCGCGCGCGGGCGCCGCAGGCTCTGCCTCCCCCTCCCGCCCCCCCGCCCGGGACGGAGCCGGAGCCGCCGCCGGAGCCGCCGCCGGAGCCGGGTGCTGCCACGCTCTTTATTGCGCCCCGGTCAGGGCCAGTCCCGCGGCCCGGGGGCGGCCGCCTCCCTGCTCAGCAGCCGCACGAGCTTAGCCTTGAGGTTGCTCTGTGGCTTGGGCCCGGGCCGCGCAGGAGGCTCCTCGGGGGCGCAGTGCCCTGCCGGGCCCCAGCGCTGCTCCGCGGGGCCGGCGGGCTGCGGCTCAGCCCACGCCGGGGCCGCGGCTGCCGCTGCCTGGTTGTCATAGATAGCGCCAGGCTCGGTGCTGTGGCCCTCGGGGGCTTGCCGGCAGCCCAGCTCCCACTGCCCTGCCTCCTGCTCCTCCTCTTCCTCCTCCTCCTCCTCCTCGGCCGGGCGTCCCGGCTCTGCCGCAAAGATGTTCTCATACAGGTGCTCAGCCGCCGGCTTCCCCGGCGGCCAGGGCTGCCCCGGGCCCGGCGGCCCCGGCCCGAAGAGGGGCTGCTGGCCCCGCGCGATGGAGGCGTAGATGATGGGGCCAGCGCTGCCGGGGTCTGCGGGTGGAAAGCGGAGGAGGCMGGAGGGCGGCTGGGAGCCAGGGTGCCCCCTCCCCCCCGCTGGCAGTTCCTGGGGGACGGGGCCCCCGGGCTGGGTCTCAGTGCCCGGTGCAGGGAGCTGGTTCTCCGCGGCGTCCTTGCCCTGCTGCTGCTGGCAGGCGATGGCGGTGGCCACAGCGCGGCAGAGCTCTGGCGCCCGCGGGGTGCTGAAGCTGAAGGTGCCCTCGCCTGAGTCGCTGCGGCGGCCGGCCTCGAAGGAGAAGACTGTCTGCGGGGCCAGAGGGCAGGGTGAGGGGCCGGTGCCCCCCTCRCCTACCCTGGAGGAGCCAGGGAGCAGGGCAGCACCTACCTGGTCCTGGCCGAACTTGCGGAGGAAGGGGTAGGGCCAGGTGAGCAGGGGCTGGCGGGACTGCGGGTCCTTCAGCRTCAGGCTCTGGGGCAGGGCTGCGAGCACGTAGTGCCCGTGCAGACCGCAGCGGGCGGCYGCCTCCGTCCGGAGCGCCAGCACCAGGAACTCGGTCACTGTGGGAACGGAAGAGCCTTGGGGTGAGCCTGGCTCTGCCGAGGCGCTGCCCGCCCCGGCCCCAAGCGCCCCCACGGCACGTACGGTCCTGCCACGAGGAGTAGAGGGAGTTCTCCTCCATGTGCACGCTGGGGTTGGGCTGTGTCCTGGTGCCACTTTGCAGAGCCTCCTTTGTGCCCTGAAACAGCAGCATGTGAGCGTGGCTGCCGGGCACCCTCATCCCAGGGCTCAGCCCCCGGCTGCTCCAAGTGTGGCCCAGGGCACACAGAGATGGGGCAGCTCAAGCAGAGCAGGCTTGAGCAGGCATCTCTCCCTGCTGCGCACATGCAGTGGAAACTCTTCCAACAGAGGCCTCCCTTCCAAAGGGTCCCAAATTTGCCCACCTATAGGGACTCTTCCCTTCCCCTCCTGCATCCTCTGGACCTGGTAACACCCTCCATCYCAAGGTGATGGCCAGGAACTGGGAAAGGGAGCCCCCTCACTCTGCTTGAACCACGAGCAGAACAGGGAGGCGCCTGGCCACGCAGCCAGAAAGGGTCCCGCGGTACCTGGAAAGCCAGCTGGCAGAGCTGCGAGATCCACTCGTCCCGCTGCTCGGCAGCCAGCACGTAGCTCTTCTCCGTGGTGGTGAGATAAAAGGCCGCGGTGTCTTTGGGRCAGCTCTCGGTGCCGAGGGGCCCCACGGAGACGCAGTCGGAGAGGCGGATCACGCGGCGGGCGCACCGGCGCAGGGAGGACTTCTCCAGCATCGTGCCGTCGTCCCTCACGTCAAACTTCTCCATCCGCGCCACGCCGGACAGGCTGGCGGCAAAGAGCTGTGCTCGCATCTTCCTCCAGGACCTCTGGCGTTTGGGAAGGGCAGAGATGCCAGGGAAAGAAGGGTCAGCAGAGAGCTGCCTGCTGCATCTTTGCCAGTGCCCCCTTCCTTTCTGCCGCAGGGTAAGGGCTCCAGCTCGTGCTTGGCGGGACAGGGCTCCCTGGGCACAGCCACTGCCCTTCCTGCATCCTTGGTGAGGCCAGGGAGACCACAGGACTTGGGAAGGACACCGCAAGCGGGGGCCATTGCAGGGCCCAGAGCAGCTGCAGGCCGGGCCCGTGCCAAGCCAGGGCTTGGGGCCGCGCGGCGCTGCCACGAGCTGCGCTTTGCTCGCCCGGAGCGTCGCGCTCGCCCCCGGCTGCAAGGGAAGCCGCAGCTGAGCCGCTCCGCGGGACGGAGCCTCATGCAAATCAAGGCCATTTTGAGCTGCTGGCGCTCCTGCAGGCAGCCCGCATTGCTGGCCTGTGCAGCCAGCGCCTGCAGCAGCAGCTCGCTTCCTCCCGGGGGACGCGCTGCGGTCCCCGGCACCTTCCCGGCATGTCATGGGATAGAGGGGGCGCCTCCCCCCCTGCACTTCAAGAGCACAACGGGGCCTCCACCCCTGCGAAACCACACGCAGCTGAGCCCGGCACCTAAAATACCCGTGTGCTGGTTGGCGGGGAAGCAGCACCCGCTCCCAGCGGGGTCGCCCGCTCAGCCCCCAGGTACCGAAGGCACCGTCAGGGCCCAGCACGGCCCCAAGCACGGGCAGGGGCAGCGAGGTGGTGACTGCCCCGTAAGCACCATCCCACGGCTCACGGGGCTGGCTCGGCCCACGGGGTACCAGAACGTGCCCGGATGGCTCCAACACCGAGTGCCCGTCCCCAGGACCCCGCGCCAGCGTCCCGCGCGCCCGTCCCCCTCCTGCTCGCGGGGTCTYGGTGCATCCTGCACGTGCTCCCAGCACCGCCACGTGCTGCTGCCCCGCGCACACGCACTGCAGCTCTGCCTCGTTAGCACGTTTATTGTTCCAAGTGAGAAGACAGAATCCGTACACAGGGGTGGTGGGTGCTGGGGCCAGCTCGGGTGAGCCCAAGCCACACGCGGAGCCTCCTTGCCCCGTTACTGCTACAGAGCCCAGGGGCCTCTGCTCCACCTGAGGGCTCAGGCTCCATCTCTCCCCAGGCTGCGGAGGGCTCAGGCCGCCCCTGCAGGTAGGGTCCCCCTCCTCAGGGCCTATTACAGAAGCAGTGAAGGGCAGGACAGCGCTACACATCCCACCCCAAATCCCCCTCCCCCTTTTACCTTTCCAAACTTGCTGTGCTGCACGTAGAGGATCCCGTCCTTCACCGGCCTCTCCATGAGCACAGCACTGGCCCGGCAGTCGGTGCCGGGATCAGGGGCTCAGACCATCATCAGCAGAGAAATGTGACTGCTGCACATGAAGCAACTGCATGGGGCAGACTTCCTTTTCTCAGCAACTTCCCCTTTTTGGTGAGTGGGATGAGGGGCAGGCTGGGTCACCGGAGCTGTCCATCCTCCCTCCCCCGAGCACGAGGGCACTGGGGCAGAACAGTGTGCAGCAAGAGCACAGGAAGCTCAAGGGACYGCCTGACTCGAGCACAACGTGCTCTGCCTAGCCCTGCCTGCACCAGGGCACAGTTTGGGGGCACCCCACTGTCCTGGCCAAAGAGCAGCAGGAAGGAGCAGGCACCAGCACAACACGAGCTGGGAAGAACGCTCCTGGAGATGCCAGAGCCTTTGCAGGAGAGCAGGGTAAGAGCCCAGCCATGTGGAGAAGCTGCACAGAGCCAGTGGGCAGCTGGGCACAGGCACTGCTACCTGCTTGCCCAACACTCCATGCCGCTGACRTAGGGGCTGTTGCAGCACAGCTCCTTGCATTTCCTCCTGCGAGAGCAGGAGCTTCCTCAGGCTGCGCTGGCAACAGTCCTACAAGGCCAAATGCTTGGAAAAGGGGTCACAGCAGTACAGGACACTGAGCTGGCTGCAGCCCAGGGCTTTGGGAAGCGAGGGCGGTTTGCACAAAGGCAGYCAAACAGCAGCTCTCTCTCACAGCCCGCGTGGAAGCAGCGCTGGGCACCATCGTGCCCCAGCTAGAAGTCCATGGAGCTGTGGGCCAGGTAGTCCTTGCGGCCGATGTTGCTGACTTGCTTGGTCTGCATGGCCTCCAGCTTGGGGCAGTCGGTGATGCGATGGCCCAGGCCKCCGCAGAAGGCGCAGCCCCGCTCGCCTGCAACGGGAGCAGCGACCTCAGGCCGAGACACGCGGCGCCGCGGCCACGGKGTGGCCCCCAACCCAGGAGCAGAGCGGCTACGTCTCCAGCTCCCACCAGTCAGGAGCACTGGGACATTCACACAGCCAGGCAGCAACAKCCCCAAGGGAACCCAGAGGACAGAGAGGCTGGAAATGCCCTGGGAACCCATAGAAATGGGAGCTATTTCCCATTTCCCAGAGAATGGGAGAAATGGGAATAGGGGCTCCCTATGTGCACCCACACCACTCCAAATCTCTGCCAGAGTTCCCTGCCCCGTGGGGATTCTCACCTCCAATGTCCAGCATGGTCTCATCCCCACAGTGCAGCACCTGGAGCACAGGAGGCACCTTCTGCTTCGCCTCCAGGAGCAGGGCCTTCAGATCCATGAGCACTGACTCATCTAGGGGCAGACACACAGGTCAGACACAGCCCAAGCAGGGGCCCAACATGTCCCTGAGGGACGGAACAGSCAGCCAGAGGCAGGGGAGCTCCATCTCCTGCGACCATCTCCCCTCCACAAGCCCTAGGGACTTGGCCCTGCTTGCTTGGGAACCACCATTGCYGAGGCAGTGGTGACCAGGAAGCAAGTGACATTGTCCCATCACCTCAGAGAGCTGCAGCCCACCCACTAGCCCTGCAGGTAGCCCCCAGGCCAGCCCTGTGCCGTCGCTCACCGCAGGCCTTGTTGATGAAGGTGGTAGCAATGCCAGTGTTGCCTGAACGGCCCGTGCGCCCAATGCGGTGAACTGCAAAGAAACAGGGAGGTTCAGGCGGGGGTGACTGCAGCCCAGGCACTGCAGCTGCTGCTGCGAGGACCGGCGCACAGCCCTGCATCCCCAGCCGTGCTCCCACATTCCCCCTTCCCACATTCCCCGCTCCCTACCATAGTTCTCAATCTCTTCTGGCATGTCATAGTTGATGACATGCTGGATAGCCGGGAAGTCCAAGCCCTTGGAAGCTACGTCAGTGGCAACCAGGACATCCTTCTTCCCCTCCCGGAAGGCCTCGATGGCTTTCGTCCGCTCCTCCTGATCTGCGGGAGATCAGCACAGAAAATCAACAAGGGCAGAGCTCCCAGTCCCACGGCCTCAGAGCCGAGCCCCGCTCACAGCCCAGGCTCCCTCACTTGGACAGACTCKGCACATCCTGCCTGGGCAGGCCCAGCCCACACGCACCTTTCCCTCCATGGATGGCCACAGCTTCCACCCCCTTGAGCAGCAGGTATTCATGGATCGCATCGACATCCGCCTTCTTCTCCGCAAAGATCAGCACCTGGCACGGCACCGGCATCAAGGAAGAGAAAGGCCTTTCTGCCTCTGGCATTGCCAGGAAGCAGCAACCTGCAAAGAAACCTCCTCCTTCTCGCTGAACAGAGAGGACAASCCTGGGCCTGGGACTGGACACAGAATAGGGAACACCTGAACCCCCACATGTGGCACTGCCTTGAATTTTGTCCTGCAGCACCAACCCCTTGGCCAGCTGAGGGACATGCAGTGAATGTCCAGCTGCAGTCGCGTGGCTGYGCTGAGGGGCTCAGCCCTGGCCGTGCTGCCGGGGCCGCAGGAGCACCTGCTCACCGGCGGCGGCGTCTTCTGCAGGCACTCGAGCAGGTACACCATCTTGGCCTCCTCCTTCACGTACTCCACTTCCTAGGAACAAGCACGGGGACAGGTCAGGTGGATGACACAATTGAGGGGCTACTGAGGGGCTACTATTGGTAGGAAGTGTGGGTGTCTGACAAGCGCGCTGTGAACTGCGCTGGCCTCCAYGTGGTGGGCAGAGCTGCCTCACCTGCACAACGTCCAGGCTGGCAGCGCCCGCTCGCCCAACGTTGATAGTGATGGGCTTCACCAGGGCGCTCTTGGCAAAGTTCTGGATCTTCTTGGGCATCGTGGCGCTGAAGAGAAGCGTCTGCCGCTGGCCCTGCGCAGGGAACACAGCGCGAGTCAGCGCTCAGCACCGGTGGGCAGGCACAGGGACTGAGCCTGGCGCAGGACACTCGCACTGTGCCAGCTCAGGACCTTGAAGTAGGAGAAGATGGTGCGGATGTCTCCCTCGAAGCCCATGTCAATCATCCTGTCAGCCTCATCCAAGGCCAAGTACCGGCAGATGTCCAAGCTCACCATCTTCTTCTGCAACAAGTCCATGAGGCGGCCAGGGGTTGCCACCATCATGTGCACACCACTGCAGGGCAAGAGAAGGCCACAAACGTTCGGGTTCTGTCCCTCACACCAACACGCAGCAAAAAGACTCAAGGTGCAACCATTTCACCACCCACATACCCTGCCCCAGAGCTCAGGCTGCGGGCTGGCACGGCACTAACACACACACAGGCCCTTGCCTCTCCCACCAGAGCAGCCTGGATGCTGCTTCTTAGATCCCTGCCCGCTCCAGCCGCCCCGCTAAGCCTTACTGCTTGATGGTCTCCATCTGCTCCTTGACAGACATGCCCCCGATGCAGAGGGCGCAGCGCAGCGGGGGCAGCCCGTCCTCCTGCAGCAGGCGGCAGTAGTACTCGATGATGCCGTGGGTCTGCCGGGCCAGCTCCCGCTGCAGACACAAAGCTCTCAGTGCCCCCGCTCCGCACATTCCCTCGTGGCCGTGCCCGTTCCCCGGGAGCTGGGGACCTTCCCCGCAGCCCTGCGGGCAGGCGCTGCAACACACTCACAGAGGGACAGATGATGAGGCCGTAGGGGCCCTCTCGCTTGGAAAACGGCAGCCTCTTCTCCTGCTCCAGGCAGAACATGATAACGGGGAGGGTGAACACCAAGGTCTTCCCGGAGCCAGTGAAGGCAATGCCGATCATGTCCCTTCCCGAGAGGCTGCGGGAGACACAGCGCTGAGCGTGAGCGGGACCGTCCCCGGACGGCTCCAGCCCGCGGGGCAGGCTGTGCACGGGGTGAAGGGCCTTTCACCCATCAGCAGGAAAAGCACCCAGCGGATACTAGCAGGGAGCAGAACATCCCCCACATCACGGCACAGCACTCACATGGTGGGGATGCCTTGGATTTGGATGGGCGTGGGCTGCTGGATTCCTTTTTTCTTCAGGCCCCTCAGAATGGCTGTAAGAAACAAGAGGCATCCATGTTCAGAAACAGAGTTTTCCCCCTGCTTTTCTTGCAGCTCGTTCTTYAGAGGCAGCTCATTCACCACTGATAAACACCCTCCCACAGCTAGACACGGCTGCTACCTTGAATTCCAACTGGAATCTCATGGTGCAGTATTAAAGATCTGCCAACTCTGTATCCAAGGCAAGTGCTCCCCGACAGCATCGTTCCCCGCCAGCCCCACTCCCGCTTCCCAGCCCACCTGCGGGGAACTTCATCTCCTTGAAGCTCTTGATGGGAGGGGGGATGCCCTCGCCCTCCACCAGGATGTGGTACTTCTTGCGCACGCGGTCGTGCCGGGCCTCCGACATGCCCAGGATGTAGCGGGGCGCTCGCCAGCTGCGGAGGCAACGGGGAGAGGTCACGGCCTGGGGAGAGCCTGGCGCTGCACGGCCACGGCCCTGCAGGGCCCCGGCTGCTCCGAGCCGCCGCCACGGAAAGCAGGGAATCTCGCAGGGCTCCGAGCCGCTGCTACGGAAAGCAGGGACAGGGAATCTCGCAGGGCTCCGAGCTGCCGCTACGGAAAGCACGGAACCTCGCAGGGCTCCATGGGGAGGGCACGTGGGAAAGTCTTGTCCCGTGCACTGAACACTTCTCCAGAGAGCAAGTAAGAAACCCCAAGCCCACAAGTGTGAACAGCCCAAGGATGAGGGAGGTGATGTGCCAGGATCTTTTGGACACACCGCACTTCATCAGCCCCTGTCACCGCCAGGCCTCGAGCAGTGCTGGCTCCCTGGGCTCTCGCAGTTGCAGTTTCCAGCTCAGCCTTCCCCAAGAACGGAGAAAAACAGCCCAAGACTTCAAGCTTAACACAGAGATACCCTAGYACCGCTCCCTACCTTACCACATGTAAAAGGACATCCAAAAGAACCTGACTCTTTGATCTTACACACAGGGCTAACATGCCAGGCCACGCAGCACAAGAAGAGCCAGCAGTCACAGGCAATATGTTTTCAGAAGGACAATGTCTGTATTGCAAAACATACCTGGTTTTAATGGGATCATCGTATGTGATGCCCTTTGCCATCTCCTTCACCGACATCAAAGCTGCAAGAACAGACACAGGAAGATCAGCAAATCCACCTATCTCAGGAAATGCTCCACTCCAGCATATAAGTACTTGGGATAAAGGTTTGGGGGACCACGCTCAGAGACGGCGGAAAAACAGAGGCACCCGGGGGGCACTTCTGAGCACAGAAATAGTGGGTGCTGCAGGTGTCTAGGGACCAGCAATGGCAAAGTTCAGTCGTGCTGTCAGGCGCCAGCTGAGGGATCCGGCTACGTTCTCCTTTCCCATCCCGGGGTGCARGTATCCCAGGGCATTGCAAAGCAACTCACACAGCGGGGACAGCTCTSGAGAGCAGCCTGAGGGGCACGGAGCTCCCGCCACTCACCTCGGCCCTCRGCCACGCTCTCCAGGATCTTTTCCTCCTCCTTCAGCTGCTTCTCCTTGGCCGACTCCTTCCGGGCTGCGGAAAGTCAGGGAATSGGTGAGGAGATCTGAGCGCACTGTGGCCGCCCGGCCCTGCGGCGTCCGCCCCGACCTTCCGCCTTCTCCTTGAGGTGCTGGTGCTGGTCCAGCAGGCTGACGTTGGACTGGGGGCCCAGGGGGATGTCGTCCTCGTCGCCGCGCTGCTCGCCGCCGCTGTCCCGCTGCTCCTCCTCCGACACCACCTTGCGCCGCATCTGCAGCAGCTTCTGCAGCTGCGGGGGAGCGGGCGCTGCGCGGGGGCGGGCGGCGCGGCGGCCGCGCTCGGCCCGCGCCCCGGCGCCCTCCTACCATCTGCGCCTTGCGCTGCTTCACGGGCACGTAGGGCACGTAGTCGTCGTCGTCCTCGCCGGACAGGCCCGAGCCGTCGGACGCCTCCTCGCGCTGCCTCTGCGGGGACACGCGAGCTGAGGGGCGGGCAAGGGAGGCCGCCCGCTTCGCTTCGGCTCGGCCCGGCYCGGCYCRGCYCGGCYCRGCTCGGCYCRGCYCGGCCCGGCCCGGTCCTACCTTCCTGTCGGCCGCGGCCTCCATGGCGCCGTCTCCGCGCAACCCCGCGCGGCGGAAGTGGCGGCCGCGGGGCGGGCGCTGTCGCCCGGCAACGGTCGCGCGCGTGACGCAGCCGCGGCTAGAGGCGGGGAGCGCGCGACGGGCCGCCGCTTCGGCCAAACTTCGCCCGAAAGCGCGAAGAGGCCGTCGGCCCCTCCCCTCCCTCCGCGCTACCCGCCCCCGGCGCGCGGGAACGAACCAGCCACGAGCTGGGTTTAAATAAAATAAAAAATTAAAAAGTTCTTTATTGGGGCCAGCACGGTGCTTGCGCGCGGGGCGGGGGCGCGGGCGGGGCGGCGCCTCACTGCGCCGCGCTCGACGTGCTCTTCTTGAGGGTGAAGTTGGTCCAGTTGACGGCCACCTTCTGCCGCGTCTGCTTGGCGGAGTCCAGGCAGAACCTGCGCGGGGAGAGCGGCGCAGCGCGTGAGGCGGCGGCGGCCCGCGCCCCGCCGCCGCCCCCGCCAGCCCGCGGCCGCCCTCACCTCTTGAAATACTCCACTTCTCGGTCGGTCTCGTCCATCTCCACCCCGTCCACGTCCTTGGGCAGGAACACGTCGTCTGGGGGAAGAGGAGCGCGGGGTCAGCGCAACRTGCTCGCTCCGAGCGGGACAGGGCACCGCCATGGGGGACACGGCACGGTGCTGGGCACGGACAAGGGCGGGTGCGGCACGGGGCTCGCGGCACTCACCGATGGACGTATTGGGCTTCTCCGCCTTGTTCCGGCTCTTCCTGCTCTTGCCCTTGGGCTGCGGGGAGCCCCCCCAGGCGGGCGGGGGCGGCTGGCGGTCCCMGGGCGCCGGGGAGGGCGGCCGCGCCGGCTCCGGCGGCTCCGCTTTGCCCTCGCTCCTCCGCCCTTTCCCCTCGCCGCCTCGCTCCTTGTCGGGCCGGGCGCAGCCCCAGGGCTGCCCCTTGGTGCCCTCGGCGGGCTCGGCGCAGCTGCCCGCCCGCTGCGGCTCCGGGGCCTTCGGAGGGGCCTTGGCGCCCAGCACCTGCCCCTTGGCACCGGGGCTCTGCAGCCAGGCCGGGCCAGCGGGCCCCGCGGCGCCGTCCCCCTTCTTCCCTGGCCCGCTCTGCCGCTTGCTCTTGCGCTGCCGGCCGCCCGCGGGCGCCCGCTCCTGCGGCTCCGGCCCCCCGGGCTGCGGGCCCTGCGCGGGCTCCGCGCGCGGCCCCTCGCCCTCGGCGGCGCAGTCTGCGCCCTGGGACTGCACCCAGATCATGCGCGAGAGGCTGGGCACGGCGCTGAGGCGCTTCACCACGCCGTTCTCGGCCGCCGGCGCCGCGCGGCCCTCGCCCCACCGCGGGCCCGGCTCGCCCCGCAGCAGCGCGTGGCTCTTGGCAGGGCCCAGGCTGAGCGGGGCAAGGGCCAGGTCTATGTCCTGCAGCTCGGAGGAGCCGTTGAGGTGGGAGAGCAGGTTCTTCTGCTCCAGGACAGCTGCCTTCTTGGGGAAGTCGTTGACGTCGAGGTTGAGGTCGTAGACGCTGAAGCTGGCCCGGATGGAGTCCTTGATGGTGTTCTTGATCTCCTGCAGCCGGCTGCTGAGGAAGCTGTTCACGCGCTCCAGCTCCAGCTCCGGCCACTCCAACAGCTTCTCCTCGGCCACCTCCCTGGCCTGGCTGGCATGGGGGCTGTGCTCTGCCCTCTTCTGTGCCTCTGCCTCCAGCTGGGCCTTCTCCTTCTCCTGCAACACAGGTGCCATGAGGACGAGTCCCCCTGGGCCACCCAGTGACACAGACAGACCCCAGCACTGCGCGTGCCGGGCTGCAAGCCCCAGCACCGCCGCTCAGCCTGGCCCCTCTCCAGCACACGCAGGGATTTTGTCAGGACCACAGCATGGAGCAGGCAGAGCCTGCACAGGGTGCACAGCCCTCTGCGGGAGCAGATTCCAGCAGGCCTCAGGGAGCCACACACTGTCTGTCACCTCAGGGGACAGCAGCAGCAAAGGACAGTTTCAGAAATCAAATGGAAGCAAGGAGAAGCGAAGYCCTGCGAGGAGCCGCCAGCCTTGCCCTGAGCTCCCACGAAGGGGTGCACCGGCCTTGCAGTGTGCCCCGCTGTGCAGCCGGGCAGCGCCGCCCCCCGCCAGCCTCACCTTCTTCTTCTGCTTGTGCCGTGCCCGCTTGGCTGCCTTGGCACTGTTGAGGGGCTTGGGCTCCGTGCTGTTGATGTAGTCCAGCAGCTCGTCCACGTTGCGGTGGTCCACGGCGGGCTCTCCCGAGCCGCTGCTGTGCCCCAGTTTCTGCGGCAGCTCCTCTTTCCTCTTGGTGAGGCGCGAGCGCAGCTTCTCMCGGATCTCAGCGTAGTTGCGGCTCGTAGGAGCGGCCGGGGGCTGTGGGATGTCACAGATGTCACAGCTGTCAGCATCGGCTGCTGCAGGAAGCCAGGGTGGCCCCAGCTCTCCCCCCACCAAGCTGCCCTACCGCTGCCTTCCCCAAGGTCTCAACAAGACCAAGTCAGCACAGCCCAACTGAACTGCTCTTCCCCACCGAAGCCATGGGATTTGGTCGGTCACGCCAAGGACAGGCAGGAAGCGACAGGTGAGGAGCAATGGGATCACTGGGATGAAGAGGTACTGCCAGAAAGGATCACGGACAGATCTGCAAGCGGGGCTGTTCTCATCTGCCACCCTCCGTACATGGAGGTCAACACTTCCCACCACAAAGCAGAGCCCAAAGACCAGGGGTGGCCACAGGCCAGGCCCTCACTCACCGCGTTGTGGCCGAAGAACTCACAGTAGCAGCAGTCACAGAACTTCCCGTCTTTCTGGTTGGTGGAGGAGGAGGTGCAGGAACTGCGCTCCGAGCTGCTGTCCTCATCCTCGCCGAGCCCCTCGTCCGCCTCGCACGGCTGCGGCGGGTGGCAGCCGGTACCGTTGGGGAATTTGTGCCCTTTGCAAGAGGRGTCCCTGGGGGAAAGGGGAAACAGGCAAGAAGTGAGCGGGAGCTGGAGCTCTCGCTATCACTCACTCTGTGTGCACATGAACACCCCTCCCAGGGCCTGTGCCGCAGCAGAGGGATTTGCAGGGCAGACAAACCCCATGCCCTGCATCCTCCTCCGGGGAGGAGCCCGGGCAGCAGACGTCAGCAGCTCATCAGCCCCCAGCATCTCCGGCGCCCACGAAGGGCTGGCGCCAGAGCTCCACAAAGCAGCGTCCCCCTGCGAGGCCGCAAGCCGAGCCGGGGCACAGAGGGTACTCACTGGGGGCGGCAGGTAGCACCGGTGACAAACGCCGGGAGTGCACGCGGCTGCCACCGGCACAGACCACCCCGCGGGCACACGGCGGGGCCGGCGCCCGGCCCACGCGCCGGGCCTCTAGCTCCAGCCGGGCACCGCGCTGGCCCCYGCGGGGAGCGCTACCCAGCGCACAGGGACAGGGCCCTCCGCTCAGCGTGGTCACAGGCAGCCCAAAGAGGGCCCGGGGAGCAGGCGAGCAGAACCACAAGTCCACGGGCTCCATCGTCTTGCGGACCTTGGCTGAGAGCCTCCGCTGCCCGGCGGGTCTCACTGACAAAGGTCCTGTTGGCCAACAGCAGGTTGGCCGGGCGGTTCCTTTGGGTCTCTTAGCTGGAGGAGGAGCAAGCACAGTCTCTTCTGCACCACAGTACTAAAGGACAACCGCAGGGAGAAGACACGTGGGGAGAAAGAGCTTAAGCCTCAGAGACCACGGGGCTGTGACAGTGGATTGGGCCTGCAAGCACACAGGCTCTTTGCACCACCGCTCCACAGCRGTGCATCCCCTGGCAGGGAAAGGCACATTTTGGGACAGGGGAGAGAGAAAGGGTGCACTGCCCAGCAGGGAGAGGCTGGAGGCGCACGGGGCCGCTCCACTCACCTGTTGGTGCCGGGCAGCGGGTGGGAGGCAGCGGGAGGGAGGAGCGCAGTACTGCAGTGCCCGTTGCAGGGATGAGCGCAGCCCGAGAGCGGAGGGGGCATCTTCAGCAGCGGCACGTTGGCGGCGGGCGGGTGAGGGCTCTTGCACGAGCCCGGGCCGTGGGAGACRGGCCCGGCAGGAGGGGACTCGGATGCCGGCTTGAGGGCCGCCACCTGCGCGCTGGGCGCAGGGAAGAGCGTGGCCTGGGGCGAGGGGGCCAGCGGGCCGCGCGGCGGGGAGCCCAAGGGCCCCGCGTGGGCGGGCGGCTGTTTGGAGGGGACCAGTGCTGGCGGCTGGGAGGGGAGCCCCGTGGGACTGTTGGGAGGAGCAGTGAGGTCCGAGTGCTGATGATGCTCTGAGGAGTGGAAGGCCTCACCTGCAGACGGGCAGAGCACACACGGTCAGGCGCCGTGTGGGCCACGCTCAGGCCCGAAAGCGCACAGGTCCCTTGGCACGACATGCAGGCCGGCCTGGAGAAGGCCCCTGAGCTCCCCCGGTGTGCACAGACGCCCACACCRCTCTTCCTCAGCCCGTAGCCGCGCTCGGGGGCTGCTCCTGGGGCGGCAGCACACGCAGCACCCACCCCTTTTGCACAGGCTGCTTCTCCAGGGCTCTCCCTACCCCCCTGCTGGGTGCGGAGCATCTGCACCTGAAGCCACCCCTGCTCGCAAGGGACCCCTACCATCACCCCCCAAACACATAGCTAAGCAAGGGGAAAAGGTGCCAAGGCAGAGAGGACGCAGAGCAGCGGGCTGGGGACCGTCCCCGCGCACACACCTGGCGGGGGGGCCCTCCGGCACATGCTTTTGAGCTGCTTGGGCAGCGTCTTGCAGAAGTCGAGTGAGGTAGGCAGCGGCGAGGCCGGGCAGGCGCCGCCGGGGGCGGCCGGGGCCGCGTGGCTGTAGGGACAGGCCGGGAGCCCCGGCGCCGCCGCGGGGGCCTGGCCCACGCGCTCCGGGGACACGGCGAGCCCGGCGGGCTTGTCACCTGCAGGGAAAGCGCAGCTAGGGCCGGCCCCGCGGCCCCTCGTCACCACGAAGAACAAGCAGAACCACAGTGTCCTGCAGCCCCYTCTGTGCTCCAGCGCAGCACTACACACAGTCATGCCCTCTGCCTTCCTACAGCTCAGCACGCTGCTGGATCGACCCTTCTGGGGACGGGGGCAAACGCTGCAGGCCCCCAGCACCCTCCGAATCCTCTGCTGTGGCAGGGATGGCACCCAAGCCTCTTGCTGGCACCAGCATCCAAAGGCAGAGCCTAGCTGTCCCCCCCTGCCCACCAGCCAGCCGGCTKCAAGGAAACGGGCCAAGCCGAGGCGCAGGGAGCCCTGCGTGGCCCCACAGCTGCCTTCAACTCACCTAGTGCAGCCGGGGGGGCGCCGAGGGGGCTGCCCTGCACGGCCCCGTTGCTGTGCTGCGAGTTCCAGAGGCCCGAGAGCTTGTGAGCAGACAAGAAAGAGCTGGGGTCCCAGTCCCCTGAGTTCCCGTGGCACGAGGAGGAAGAGGAGGAAGAAGAAGAGGAAGAGGAGTGGGAGCCACCCCCACAAGACTGTGACTTGCAGGACGTGTGGGATAACGAGACCTAGCAAGAAAAACACAGTGTGAAGCTGCAGCAGGCRCGGAGGGGCTGCGAAGCCTCAGTGCCCTGGCACCAAGCTCCCGATGCCACATGCAGGATCTCTCGTGCTGGAGCATGGCGCGTGGGGACGGCCTCGCGGGAGGCGCCAGCGCCCGGGGCCGAGGCAGCAGAGCCAACCCCACGGCAAAGGCCACGTGCCGGGAGCAAACGGGCCCAGGGTTAAACAAGCCAGGCAGGGAAGGGCTGCGCAGCCCTCAAGCTCTGCATTTGTGCAGGCGCTGCCTGGGCGAGGGCTGCCCTGGGGAGACYCTGTAGGACCACGCATGGAGGGGCCGCGCACAGAGGGGCCATGGASAGCCCAGCAGAGTGGGGTCAGCACAGGAGCCGGGGCACTGCCCGCCCTGCCATGCAGGTGGCTCCCACACCGGGCAAGTCGCTGGGCTGCCCCCCATGCCAGCCCCCCACAGCCCCGTCCCTCCCACAGGAGCTGGCACCAGCCCTGGGTGTCATGGGCATCTGCCCATGGCACTCGGAGCCAGGAGCAGCCACCCATCCCACGGCACAAGACGGGCCATGCCAAGCTGCCCTGCTCCAAGGAGCTCCGACTGCAGCCTTCCCTCTGCTCCCGGGCGCGTGCTTACCGCCAGGGCCTGCTCCTGCACCGCCCGCCGCTCCTCTTCCTCCACGCTCTTCCTGCAGCTCTGGCAGATCCACAGCGGCATCTCCCCCAGGAGGTTTTGCACGAGCGTTGGCACGAAGTCGGGCGGCAGCCTCTCGCCGGGGGACACGAGCCCATTGTGCGAGGGGCCGCCCCAGTCCTTGCGCTCGCGGTGGCACAGCAGGCAGCACGTCTGCACCGCCTGGTTGGCGGTGGGCAGCACCTGCAGCGGGACGCACAGGACGCGGGTGACCCCACGGCAACGCCGGCCTCGCGCCACAGGCACCAGCTACAAGGTGCCACCAACCCAAGGGGCTCCTTGCAGGCAACGCGGGGGCCGGCGCTTTCTCCTGCTTGCAGAGAGTGGCCTCAGGGCTCCCCGGCTGATGCCAGGGGATGGACAGGGTGGACACGAGCGCATGGGGAGCACAGCGGGGTCCTGGGGATGCAGCGGAGAGGGGCTGAAGACTTTTGGGGCCGCGATTGGGCCTGTCCTCTTTGTTTTGCGCAGCCCCCGGCACAACGAGCCGAGCATCCAACTGCCACCGCCGGGCAGGTGGTGCCGCCGGGGGCTCAAGGGGAGGCWAAGGCTGGAGGCCAGGAGACCTGCGGGTGCTCCCCGTTTTGCCAAGTGCATCCGCCCCATCCCAGCACTGGCCCAGGGGTCCCTCCCTGGCACACGGGTCTCCGAGGGGCACCAGACAGCAAAGCCAGATCCATCCCAAAGCCATCCCGCATCCCTGGCGGACAATGCTCCAGCAGCTCCAGCCACCCAGGGCTGGCAGAGCGGCATCCTCCCGCGAGCAGGAGCTGCGGGATGAGCGCTGGAGCAGCAGGAGGCCCAGGTGCGTCCCCAAGCCCGGGCTCTGCCACCAGRGCGCACGAGGGCACACGGGCCAGCCCGGCTCACCCACGCGGTGCCGGGGACGCTGCCACCCCGCCGGCCCTGCGCATGGACGGGGCGGTGCAGCCAGCCCGGCCGAGGGGGCTCGAGCCCCGCGCGGCCCCTCCAGCTTCCTGCAGCGCGGGGACATCCCCGAGGGGGCCGGGCTCCCGCCGCGCCGGCACCCGCACCCCGGCGAGCGCGGCCGGGCGCGGGGCCGGTCC